ATTATTATTATTAGGGAATATTTATATATCATTAATTTGTTAATATCATTTTTTAATAAAAAAAATTCAAGAACATTATTTTCGAGTGTAATTTATATGGTTTTATTTTGATTGACTAATTTATGTTTATTTTAAGTACATTACATACTGTTTTATTCAGATAATGTAGTGATAAAAATATATATAATTGAAGTAGAAAAAAAGTACAAAATATATTTAATATTCATTTAATCTACTTATATATGAGTAAATTAAATGAATATTATGTGTTGATAAGATAACTATATTCAACGTTTAAAATACATATAAGTTTTAAGATACTTTAGTAAGATATTAGTAAAATAAGCGTTATTTCTGTAAATAAATATGGTAGGTGCATCAATGGTTAATAAACGGTTATAATGCTCCATAGTAAACCATTGGCAGCTCTTAAATAGACCGTCTATGGTGGAATTGTTGATGTTTATTAAACGCATAATAAACTTGATATTGCACACTGGGTTGTATATATATATATATATATATATATTAGTAGACTTAATGATTATTTTTTATTGATATAATATTCAAATTAATATAAAGGGAACAAAATTTTGATGATATTTTTTTATTCAAAGATTGTAATTACAATTGATTGATGAACAATAAATAAATTACTATAGAAATTTGCCAAAATTATGGTATGTGATGTCCATGCAGAACTGGTTTAATAATTGCCAGCGGTTTGTTTGTTGTATACACCCAGAGAAATAGTTATTAAAATTAATGGAAAAAGTATATAAAATTAAGGAAAAACGGGTATGATTTGGAGCCTATGGAATCGATTCATTGAAATGACATTTTTTTAATCATTATATTAATGCTAAAGAATATTCATTGAAACAATTATTAATTTCTTTAATTTTACTCTTACAGTCCATAGTTTTAAATACTTGGGAATTAAACTATTGGAAAATTATTAACATTTATTTAATGGAAATACATCTTATGGTATTTATTTTAAAGATATAATTCGTTGTAATAATTAACTCTGATCATAAATTTAACTTTTCTTGAAACATAAATATGATGAGTTGCAAGCATTGATTTTAAGCTATTATTATTAGGTCGGTTTTTAAAACAATTCTATTTCTTCATAAAAATTAAAATTTCTTTGCATTACTTTAATAACTGCTTTACTTAGTAATAAAGTAAAAATCCATCTTCTATAATTTTTTTGTGAATAATAAAAACAAATGATTAGGTTATTTAAATTTAATAATTTTAACACTTTGCCATTTATTAAGTATATTTATTTTTAAAGTAAAAAATTAATCAATATAAATGATAAATACAAATTACAAANTAATATAAATGATAAATACAAAATACAAATATAAACAGATGAATTCCTAATAAATAAGGAATAAAATTTACATAAATAAAATTATTATTTTAACATAGTTACTTATTCCATTAGTTTCTATCAAATTAACATTATATTAAAACATCAAATATAAATTAAAATAATAATTAACATATATATAAAATACAAAATCAATAAATCTTTAAAAATGTTTTTATCTTATAACTGTTTTTTTATCATTAAGATGATAGAAACAAATTGGTGGACCTGAGAAATCATTAATATCTTTTAATACATAGAGATCATCAGTATCAACATTCGAAACAACATAGCTTACAAAATGTTTATTATAAGATAGTACATTTAATGTTATACATAAAAAAAGAACTTTCTAATCAAAACAAATAATTTTTTTCAATTTATATATCAATAAATGATTGTTATTTAACGATGTTTGTATATGGCTGGTTTTATAAACTATATTGTTGTATATTATTTGGTCATAATAATGTGCCAAATTAAGTACAGTTAAATCATTGGGTGAAAATAAAATTTTAATCTTTTCAAAATATTCACATAAATTTAGTGGTAAGCCTAAGTTTGCCGAGATACAAGAACTATTTTTTAAATTTAAAATATAAACTGAAAAATGAATGGAGTATTTTATAGCCAAAGATATAGGCAGTTGAACTCTTGAAGTTATGTTTTTAGAGTATGTTTTAAGTTGTCTATGTTTAGATTCAAACCGATAACACCATAAAAATTCTAAGGGGCCTGAATTTTTTATTATATTACAGTAATGGATAAGAAAATGATGTTTAGGTTTTAATGTGTCTTGAAATAATTCTACATATTTATTATTGTGATATGTGATATGATTTTGTAAATTTAAAATAATTTGATCATTAAAATTTNGATGTTTAGGTTTTAATGTGTCTTGAAATAATTCTACATATTTTTTATTGTGATATGTGATATGATTTTGTAAATTTAAAATAATTTGATCATTAAAATTTGACAATAACAATAAATTAATCATTTCAATAAAATTTATCAAGAATAACCATATTGGATTGTTACAATTAGAATTTTGATTATTAAGAACTTCAGATTTTATGTATTTAGAAAATGAACGATAAGTTGAGAAAGTCTGTGAACAATGTAGTATGCCACAACGGTAAAAACTTGATGATGTTAATGAATGAACATACTTTAAATGTGCAATGAATTGATAAAGTTCAATAAAGATATCTTTACAAATAAAACAAATTAGATTCATTATTGTTTATAATTTAGTAACTGTAATAAAGTTAAAAATATTAAATTAGAATAAAATTATGAGCAATGTAATAGTTAAATTATGAAAACATATAGTTAAATCAGAGATTATTGAAGTTAGCGAAGAGCTTTTAATATCACAATCATTGTGAATATCATAAATAAATTTTTGTATTAATGTCCAAACTAAACTGAATGTGGTAATGTAAGNTAATGTCCAAACTAGATTGAATGTGGTAATGTAAGTTAAATACTTGAAAAATTTTAAAGCATGTATCTAATGCTCGTATTATGTTTGAAAATTTATAATAGGTGTTGAAAAAATACACATAAATATTATTGATATCATCAAAATTAGTTTCAGCAACACAGATGAATGGTTGTATTTTTTCTTTTTTTTTGTAAGCGATATCAATTTTTAATTGAATTTGAACATGTAGATCATTCATTGAAGCCACTTTTAATAAAAACGAATTTCTAGCATCAGAAATAGATGTTTTTACAATGCGTCTCTTATTTGTAACTGAATCTATTTCATAGGATCTGGAAGTTGGAACTAATAAAGCATTCATTAGATCTAAAACTAAAAGATTTCTGGTTTCTGTAAAAAAAATTAAAATATTATTATTTGATTAATTAAAAATTGTGAGAAATTATCTTACCAATATCAGTTACATTTATTTCTATTAAACGTTTAAGTAATAGTTTGCTGTTTCCATCCTTTATTTTATTTATCATTAACGGAATGATCTTAATAATAAATTGATCCCAATTAACAAACAATTCATTTCCTTTTGAAACATATATATATTCAAAATCAATATCAATCTAGATTTAAATTAATAAGTAATTATGTAAATTAGTATCATTGAAATATAAACCTAATTATAACTAAGGCATACACACACATACAACTCTATAAATTTAAAATCATTAAATGCAAAATAAATAAAATTGTAATCCTGAACATGTAAACATAAATATATTTTTCAATTACTATATTAATTGAAATATACATAAAAAACTACTTTTAAAAATACTTAAGAAATTTTAATAATTAAAATANCAAAACTATTTTTAAAAATACTTAAGAAATTTTAATAATTAAAATACCAAGCTGTGACCAAATGACTGTTATTTATGACTGTACATAGGCCATTCTTTGAGAATATTATTAATGTTAATACTTGGAGACAACAAATATTCTCTACGAATTTCACAAGTCTCTTCTCATTTTATAATTACTTCATTCATAGGCTCAATGTTAAACTGAAGCCATTTTTTTTACTTTAATGAATCATTCATTATCTACAAATAAACCCCATTATTTAATTAATTATTAGTAAAAATTACTAATATTAATTATTTACTTATAGTTGTCCTATGTAGTATAGATGTTTGCTCTAAGTTACTATCAGAACTTTTTTTTACTTTTTTTATGGGAGACCACAATTTGTGTTTGCATAATTTTGTCAATGTATTATGATATTTTAGGTACAATATTCCCTTTGGTTTTTATGCAGACACACTAATGAAGTATGTTTCCTAGAAGGCAATTATACTGATATATTTAAAATTGTATTAATTTTCATACAAAATTTTTTAAATTTTACAAACCTTAACTTCATATTTAAATATATTAATGATACTATCAGAAATATTATTAATGATTTTAGGAGAACCATATATTTTATGCTGTATCATATATTCAGTAATTATTTCAGTCAACATTTTCTTTAATTCATCACTAAGCTTTAAATTTTTTTTATAAAATGACATTATCAAATTTCCTTTACCAGATGAATTTAATATTTCTTTTATATTTATCTTAAAATAAAGGAAAACAATAGTTTTATAAAATAGGAAATAAATATGTATTTTTAAATTACTGTTAAAATTTAATATAGGTTTTAATTATAAATTACTTGGTTCATAAAAGAAATGGGACAACTATTATTTGAACTTGTAATAGAGTATTCAGACATTTCTGGATCAGATAAAGGTTCTGATGCATTATCTTTACTAGCACTAGTGGTACTAGATTTCTCCTATAGAAATTATCAATAATGAAAGGTCTGTTAAAAGGCTTAAAATTAATTTAGTTAACTCACACTAACAAAGTTTGACTGCCACTTTTTTAAATGGTGATCAAATATTATTCGTTGACCATAACAGGCTTTTGGACAAATGTCTTGTAAGTGTTTTTCATTAATATATTTAAGGCTTTCACATGTTATTCCATGTTCTAAAATGTACATTAAATATAGTAAGGAGTTGAGAATTTAATGCTATATCATCTAATTTATNATATGATAATGCTATATCATATAATTTATAAAAAGCAGAATTAAAAAAAAAATTTAGAGAAATAATATTATTCAAATCACTAAATTTAATGTAAAGTATAAAAGTCAATTTCCATTATAATTAACCAATAATTACTAAAACGTGACACGTCTAAAAGATATAAAAATAAATATGTGTACTTACCGATAAATATATTGAAGAAGCAATCACCTTTTAACTCTCCTAGTACATCTAGTAGAGCTGATTCGTGTGAAAATTCTTCGGAAAATTCATTATTTTCAATGACAACAGAATTTAAAATTATTTCTTCCATTTAGTTATAAAAACAATCACTAGACACTATACACTAACTAACACGATGCCAAGTGTAGAATAATGTTGCGTATTGTCACCGTTATCTAATAGCACAATAATAACAGTTCCAAAAAATTTACCCAAATATGCTAAAAATAAATGTGGATTTTATTATTTAACGATAAATGTCATTAAAATAAAGACGGCAGGGTATTGAATTAATGAAAACTGTCTAGTGGGGTTAGTAAACAAATAATTTCCCTACACTTCCGTTAAATCAAAGTTATAATTACTTTTAGTTTAAGTAAAACATTAATATTTTAATTCAATTTAGTTTTGATTTGAAGTAACATTTTTTACTTAAAAATAAAGATTCTCTATGATAGAAGCGTAGAACTTTTTGGTTATATCAATTACCCTATCCTTTAAAAGAAACATATTTTTATTACATTCAAGNTTTACCCTATCCTTAAAAAGAAACATATTTTTATTACATTCAAGTAAATTGTGTTCATGAAACAAATAAAGGACTCCTTTGTTTAAAATATTTATATTTTATTGATTTGATTGCAGTATCTTTAAAATGTCATTAAAAAAATCTTTAAATTTATTGAATGTGGTTTTATTTTAAAAGAAAAATTGTTATTTTAATTCATTTCAGCGTTATTACTAAGTAACACGCTAGGCTTAAAAACAATGATTCAATTTCATTAAAGCATGGAACGTTCTTTTTCTGAGTGTGGGTAATATAATATAGTTAAACAGTATGCGTTGATAAATATTTCTCTAAGTTATTTATTACAATTTTTTTGTTGAAAAGAATAATATTATTCTAACAATATTAATATGATGTATAAATAGAATTGTTGAATATCTTAAACGAAAAAATTAAAATTAAAGATCAGTGTTGTGGACTCAAACAAGCGTCGCCTACTCGTACCAAGTTATATAAATGAAAAATAAAGTTATATATATATATATAAAGTCTTATTAATAAATTGTTATAAATTAAAAAATATTGTGGTGTTATTTAATAATGGCAATTAAGGGCTAAATGCTCTTCGCGTAGACACGTGTAGCAGCATACAACAGAAAAAAATAACTGTATTAGTCCAAACACTTAAATATAATTCTGTAATTAATTATAATTTTTGTTATTTTATATATTCCAACAAGTATTGTATTCTTTGAAAAAAATTGTACAATAATAGATATACTTGGGTGTTTCTTATTATGGTCATTTTTAAAATACTTCGCTCCTAGATTTTTATTTTGTTTTTGAGATAAATAAAAATTATTCCAAAAATTTTAAGTTCCTATATAACATAACCTGCTCAAGCAATGTTTTATAATTATAATAATTATAATTTTTTGAAAAGGGGTTAATAATAAATTTATATATCAAAAGTCTGGGGGCGAAGCGTCCGGCGGCGAAATGTCCGGGTCCGTTAATAATACGTTTGGTGTTTCCTTGATTTGGTTGCTCGATACAATTTACACGACCGTCGTCGCCGATTATTATTAACACTCTTATATTAGTGTCATTTGTATGTGTGATGTGTGTTTGTAAATTTCCACGCGGCACGTGTTATTATTCTCGCGTATCCCGTCGTCTAGACTAGACGTCGTAACGAATTCACCCCAGCCCGCTTACCACTCAAACCCAACAATATTTTTCTGTAAAATTTTATTTTTGGATTTCGTACCTGTACACACGTGCATGACATCAATTATATATTTATAAACAAATTTTTATTTTGACTGACCAATACCACCGCATGTAATGCGTCTTACGTATACAGGGTGTTATATATATATACTCTGTATATTCCTACCGCCGCTGGTGCCGTTTATACCTTAGGTATAACGTTCCCCCCGCTCACAAAACAAGGCTATACCTCGTGCATGATACTTTTACGTACTTAAATCGCTTTACATGTATATATATATTCTTATTACTATAAAAAATATAGAGAGTGTTACAAACATTGTACAAACAATGAGAACAATAGAAACCCGTTTCCTGACTTACTGAACACTCTGTGTATTAACACGCTTTATTCTCATTAAGAGATATAGTGTGTATTCATTCCGATTACAAAGGATGATTCTCGTATCGTCATTTTTCGTCACTACATCTATGTTCCGTGAGTGGGTAATTTACGTGCCTGCTGCTTTCCTTGGATGTGGTAGCCGTTTCTCAGACTCCCTCCCCGGAATCGAATCTTGTATTCCCGTTACTCGTTACAACCATGATATTGAAAGTAACTACTATCATACATGTAACTTAAAAGTAAAAAATAAATATAGTTTAAAAAACACGCTTTTAAAGCACATCGAAATAAAAAGTTAAAAATTATTTTTTAATGTGCTTTGTTTAAAAAGCGCGTTTTTTTAGTTTTTTAAAACTATAATTTTTTAGATAATATATACCGTCGTGCCATAGCTACCCTACCCAATCACATTATATATATATATATATTGTAGAATACATTCCGTGCTATTTTTATAATTTTACAACAGCCAGCTATTAATTTACTAAAATATGTCGTAATATGCTCAATGCTTTTCATTACGCATCTTACAATTATCAATGAAAAATGTATTTTAAATAACTTAAACAAATAATTTATCTGTCAAAACAAATACGATGTTCAACACAATTTCTTATTACTTTTATAGATACAGAGTGGCCCACCACTCACTGACAACTTAAATAACTTTTGATCCAGTTAATATTTTTAGCTGATTTTTTTTTTAAATAATAGTTTTACGTTAGGTTTATAGCTATACCTCAATAAATAATTTTTTTTTATTTTATTAAAAATATTAATTATCTTTAAATTTTAAATAAAATGTAAAAAAAAAATCTAAGATAGCTATTTTGTAGAGTAGAATTTAAGAAAAATTTTAGTAAAAAAATATCTTATTAATATTCAGTAGTAAATATTCTGTAGCGTTTTGAAGTTTGTGAAAATTTGAATTTTCATGTATTATTTTACGGTATTAAACATTGAAATATGTATTGAGAAAACACTATCTTTTCGTGATTACTATAATTTGGAGATTTGTAACTTTTTCCATGAAAATGACATACTTTTTGTGGCGACCCCCGCCACTATCAGCAGCTAGTCATCTTCAGTGTTACCGTTTTTATGTCATGTGATTATTTTATTGTATTTTTTATTTCGTTAAACATTGTTGGTATTCGTCGTGAGTTTTGATTATGTAATCGTCCCTACCTGTGTACCTTTTTAAATGTTATTTTTAAATTAACCGTCCTCCCTGTTCAGTCAGTCAACGTTCGATCTCTTAGAGAAATTAGTTTGTCGCGTTACCTTTATAATTTTGTACGTCCTTTTGTTTTGCCGACGAATACGTTTATTTCAATTTGTTAATTATTATTTTATGCGAATAAAGCGCCTGTATCGCCTTTGGCGTTAGTTCTAATATTTCTTGTGTTATTATTTTATTTAATAGCTTTTAATAATTATAAACGATCACTCTGGAGGACTTAACCTCCAAATTGGTAACCTCGTGTGCGAACTTATTTTTCACCTTCTGGATTTTTGTGCGTTCTTGTTAATTTTTTGTTTTTCTCTTTTTCGTTGTGCAAATTAATTTTTCCTAAGTATACGATGTGGGATACTTTGTCAATTGACAACGAAAACGGCACATCGAGTGCGGTACCGCCGTTACTTCCGCTGCCAGTAGTTGCCGTTCCGCCGAAGGCATCTCCGAGTACCGATGTTACAGTGGCCGCGATTGCTGCCGTCCGCTTACCATGTTTTTGACGTCACTCACCGAAGCAATGGTTTACGCACGTGGAAGAAAATTCAATTTTGGCATTAACAGCGCAGATCTCTTCTTTAGCCATCGTGCATGCTGCCAGCCGCCCTTCACGGTCCACGTAGTCCGGCAATTATAATTACCGTCGTTCGTCGTTCTCTCTCTCGCGTCCACAAAATGATGTTTGGTGTTATTACCATAACACTTACGGCAATCTGGCACACAAATGTCGTCCTCCATGTACGTTTAGTTCGGAAAACTGACGGCAGCGACGAAAACTGTCGCCTCCCCGTCATACAGAGTCTTTGTCACGGACTACCACACAAAAAAGCGTTTCCTTGTTAATTCAGGAGCCGAGATTTCCGTATTACTGTCAGAGCCGTGTCGGATATTGTTCTTACCGCAGCAAACGGCACGCGGATCAAGACTTACGGTCCCAAAACACCAGCTTGATTTTGGTCTGTCACGACGTTTTTCTTGGACTTTTGAAATAGCGGACGTTTCACGGCCCATCATAGGAGCCGACTTTTTGCACTATTTTGGGTTATTGGTTGATGTTAAACGCTGTAGAATTATCAACTCGGCCGTTAAAAAATCAATTCAAGCGATCTAAGTCAGCGAACCGATCACGCCGTTGTTTACCGTAACTCATTAAAAAAAAAGGACGGATTTGCTATCACGTTTTCCTGGCGTCACTCGTGAGTCGCCGGTGTCCAGTAAATTCATGCACGACGTCGTCCACGAGTTGAATACTACTGGATCACCGCTCTTTTCGTGTCCACGTCGTTTGCCACCGGATGGAGCGCACATTGCTCGTCGTGAGTTCGATTATATGCTTAAAAATGGGATTTGTCGACCGTCTTCTAGCGCGTGGGCCAGCCCACTTTTGTTAGTTCCTAAAAAGGACGGGACGTTTCGTCCTTGTGGCCACTACAGGCGGCTGAACGCAGTCACGCAGTCCAATCGTTACCCTATACCTCACCTGCACGATTTTACCGCTCACTTGTCTGGAAGAAAGATTTTTTGAAAAATCGATCTCGTGAGGGCATATTACCAAGTCACTGAAAATGATATTCAGAGGAGAGCTGTCAAAACACCTTTCAGACTTTTTGAGTTTCCTGTAATGACTTTTGGTATCAAAAACGCTGCGCAAACCTTCCAGCGTGAAGTAAATAATATGTTTTTATCAGATATTTAATTTTTAACTGATATATCTCCTAAATGTTTTTCCATTTCTTTCAAATTAAACTTCTAAAAATATATAGTATATTGAAATTTGAAAAAGACTATTATTGTTTCTAAGATCTTTATTTTTTTAAACTTTTGTAACTACATAAATTCATTAGCAATAAAAATAAAAAGATAGTTTTCAATTATTGCTCAAAAATGTTTTCTTAAGCAACAGATATATCTTCTGAATGACATTCATCAATCATCCAGTACGAGTAGTTCATCTATACGTTTAGAAACTGATTCCTTATGAGTTTTTAAATCTTCTGTTCCAAATAATTCTCGTGTTTTCTCTCTTAGCAGCTCTCTCATTTTTTTTTTGTTTGTGATATAAGTACTTCATGATCTTTGGAAATTGATTGCAATCTATTATTATATGCTGATCTAATTGTATCAATCTCTTTATATCTTTCTTCAGCTTCAAGAAGTATCTTAGTCTAAAAAAATTTCAATGTAATATAAAAGAAAATTAATAATTAAAAAAAAAAGAAAAGTTATATAACATGAGTTAAATCTTCTGTTTCTAATGGTTTTTCGTTCCTTCTCTGATCTATCTCCTAAATGTTTTTCCATTTCTTTCAAATTAAACTCCTAAAAATATATAGTATATTGAAATTTGAAAAAGACTATTATTGTTTCTAAGATCTTTATTTTTTTAAACTTTTGTAACTACATAAATTCATTAGCAATAAAAATATAAAGATAGTTTTCAATTATTGCTCAAAAATGTTTTCTTAAGCAACAGATATATCTTCTGAATGACATTCATCAATCATCCAGTACGAGTAGTTCATCTATACGTTTAGAAACTGATTCCTTACGAGTTTTTAAATCTTCTGTTCCAAATAATTCTCGTGTTTTCTCTCTTAGCAGCTCTCTCATTTTTTTTGTTTGTGATATAAGTACTTCATGATCTTTGGAAATTGATTGCAATCTATTATTATATGCTGATCTAATTGTATCAATCTCTTTATATCTTTCTTCAGCTTCAAGAAGTATCTTAGTCTAAAAAAATTTCAATGTAATATAAAATAAAATTAATAATCTATTATTATTTGATGATCTAATTATATCAGGTTATTATATAGGTTTTTTGTAATTTTGTTTTAAATGCTTTTGAACAAGGCTCCCAGGTTTATGTTCTTTACACAGATTGCAAAAAGGCATTTGATTCTGTTAATCATGTAGTTCTTCTTAATATACTTAAATTAAATGACTTTGGGGAACCTCTTTTAACATGGTTTGACTCCTATTTAAAAGAAAGATATCAATGGGTGAAATTGTTTGGGACACAATCTAAACTATTTTTAGCTTCCTCTGGGGTACCACAAGGTGGACACTTGTCTTCGTTGTTATTTTCATTATTTGTTAATAGTATAAAAAATGTATTATTAAACTGTAAATTTTTGTGCTTTGCTGACGACATGAAGTTGTTCTTGCAAGTCAGTTCTACTGATGACTGTATTATGCTACAGAATGACCTACATAAATTTACATTATGGTGCTTAAACATAGGTTTAACCCTTAACTTTGAAAAATGTCGTGTTATGACATTCACTAGATCTCGGNAGGATGACCTAGATAAATTTACATTATGGTGCTTAAACATAGGTTTAACCCTTAACTTTGAAAAATGTCGTGTTATGACATTCACTAGATCTCGGTCACCTATTATTTTTTCTTATAGTCTTTGCGGTGCTAATGTTGTAAGAATTAATGATTTTGTACTTGACCTTGGTTTTAAATTCAGTAAAACATTGGATCCTAAGTGTCACATAGAAATGGTGTGCTGTAAAGCATTGAAAAAGCTCGGCTTTATAATAAGATTTGCTGCTAACTTAAAACTAAATTCTTCACTAAAAATATTATATTCTTCATTGGTTCGGCCAATTGTAGAATATGGTTCTATTGTTTGGAACCCTCATTCCTTATCTGATGCCACCCAAATTGAAAGGGTACAACGGAGATTTTTGCGGCATGCTGGATTTATATTGGGTATCCAACATGACCCTCATGATTATTCTCCAGTTGCAAACAACCTTAATTTATCGTCACTGACTGATCGTAGAGTTGCTGCAGGCATTAAATTTCTAAATGAATTGCTGAATGGAAATATTGATTCACCATATCTTCTGAATTTAATAAATTTTAAAGTTCCTCAGAGAAATTCTCGTTCCTATTTTCCTTTTTTTATCCCCATTTGTTCTACCAATTACTTACAAAATGAGCCCATTAGAAGAATTTTAGATAGTGCCAATATGGACCCACTTATGTTATCTTATTTTTGTATTTTTGTTATTTTTCTTATTTTTGTACCTCATAGCAGCTTGTATTTTTATATATTTATATTCATATATTTCTGTTAAATCACTGTGTATTACTCCGTAATGTTATTTATGTTTCTGTTGAATTGCTGTGAATTACTCACTTATGTATGTTTAAATTGTTATTAATCTAAATTGTAAAAAAGGGCTATGCCCGTTAAATTTATAAATAAATAAATATCAATATCTTTATATATCTTTCTTCAGCTTCAAGAAGTATCTTAGTCTAAAAAAATGTCAATGTAATATGAAAGAAAATTAATAATTAAAAAAAAAAAAAAAGTTACATTACATGAGTTAAATCTTCTGTTCCTAATGATTCTCGTTCCTTCTCTGATCTATCTTCTAAATGTTTTTCCATTTTCTTTCAAANTTCTCTGATCTATCTCCTAAATGTTTTTCCATTTTCTTTCAAATTAAACTCCTAAAAATATATAGTATATAAATACATGTAATATATATTTAGAGAAATTAATAAAACAAAATTATGTGAAATAACTTAATGTAAAAAAATATTAGAGTTTTTTTTCAATAAATTTAAAATATTAAAAAGCCATAGAAATGTAATAAATACAAAATGAAAATGAAAAAAGAAATACAAAATGAATAAAACAAAACCCAGCACAGTAGGGTCGCGGCACAGTTGTGACGTGGTATAGTTGGATCAAGTATAATGATATCTGACAGTGATTAAAATCACTATCAAAGATAAACGCTTCGATGCAAATCTTTAGATAGTGTTTTATTTTAAAAAAATTGGTGTTTTATTCCAAAAGCTACTTGATTTGCTGGTTCCTTAATATCTCGATTAAGATAAAGTATGTCGAATGAAAAAGGGTTTATTAAAAAAAATTATTTCTCATAAAAAAATTGTGTGGATCCATAAACTTTTCAATAAGTTATAGCATTATAAAGTTAAATATAATATGAATAATAAAATCGAGAATTATCACACGAAAATAGCATTCGGTAGCCATTTTCGCCGCGAAGAAAAGTCCAGAGGTCAAATTTTTTTTTTTCAAATTAAAGTATATTACATTAGCTTTAATTTAAGATATATATAAAAGTGTCAGACCTTCCGGAACATTTTCAAAAGTTATGTTGAAAAAGTAAATTTTTTGTGAAAAAGTTGTCATTTTAAATCCCCCCCTGTGGGCAGGTTAAGTGTCAGATTTACAAAAAAAATATACCAAATGATAAGTAAAGACATCAAACATCTATATAAAAAAGAANAATTTAATAAATTTTAAAGTTCCTCAGAGAAATTCTCGTTCCTATTTTCTTTTTTTTATCCCCATTTGTTCTACCAATTACTTACAAAATGAGCCCATTAGAAGAATTTTAAATAGTGCCAATATGGACCCACTTATGTTATCTTGTTAACCACCTTATTTTTGTATTTTTGTTATTTTTCTTATTTTTGTACCTCATAGCAGCTTGTATTTTTATATATTTATATTCATATATTTCTGTTGAATCACTGTGTATTACTCCGTAATGTTATTTATGTTTCTGTTGAATTGCTGTGAATTACTCACTTATGTATGTTTAAATTGTTATTAATCTAAATTGTAAAAAAGGGCTATGCCCGTTAAATTTATAAATAAATAAATATCAATATCTTTATATATCTTTCTTCAGCTTCAAGAAGTATCTTAGTCTAAAAAAATGTCAATGTAATATGAAAGAAAATTAATAATTAAAAAAAAAAAAAAAGTTACATTACATGAGTTAAATCTTCTGTTCCTAATGATTCTCGTTCCTTCTCTGATCTATCTCCTAAATGTTTTTCCATTTTCTTTCAAATTAAACTCCTAAAAATATATAGTATATAAATACATGTAATATATATTTAGAGAAATTAATAAAACAAAATTATGTGAAATAACTTAATGTAAAAAAATATTAGAGTTTTTTTTCAATAAATTTAAAATATTAAAAAGCCATAGAAATGTAATAAATTAATAAGCCATAGAAATACAAAATTAATAAAACAAAATTCATTCATTCACTCATTAATACTAACCTTTCAGCCTCATTGAAAATTTTTTATCGCATGTATAAGAATAAGAAGTATATTGGATTATAGTCTACGTTTTTTGTCATAGCAATCGCATGTGCATTGTTATGTGTTTTTGTGATATAATTTTTAAGTAATAATTATACTTATTACTTTAAAACAATGCATTGTAAAATTATTTACAATGATCTTAATCGCGAGCAAATGTTCTATTATTTAATGAACACTACTTTTGCTTTTGTAGTATCATATTTTAATACATGTAATAATTAATACTTATATTTAATAAAATATATCACCAAATCAGTGTTTCCCCGTTGATAAGATGAGTAATAAAATAATACCCTTACACAAGATTTAACCTCCCTCTTACGCATTCCATANGAAGATTTAACCTCCCTCTTACGCATTTCAAAAACGCCCACGTAAGAGATTCTATCACATTAACCAATCAAATACAGCAAAAAATATTTTAAGAATCTCACCAGAGATCGCTAAACCAGTTTTGCGAGCTATAAAAAGGCCATTTTCCCCAAATTCGGGTGGTTCCTCTGCGGCTTCGCTTCCCTTAGTGTGGTTCTCTTGCGGTGGTTATGTACGATTTCTGAACATCCCTCTAGCGGATACTGGGACGCCTTGCCATTCTATCTATGCATCTCTACGGCTCTCTGGAATACTCAACCAAGATACAAAAAGTGAATGTGCGTGAGTTTATGTTTCATTCTTAGTTACAATTCTATATGAAATCTGCATTATTTTTACCCTCTTTCGTAATTACTGAAAATATTATACATCTTATTTTCGGTCGAATAATTTTGGTGATATAAATATTCTAACACATAAAATATTGGCGTTTATTTATTTTCTTTTTATTTACATTTATATTTATATATATAAGCATATTCTAAGCTACTTAATTTGATTGAATTGTATCTATTACTTATTGAAGGGCCACAACCTGGCTGGACAGGGTAATAGTACAATAATATCATAATTAGAATTTTAGTTAATCATAAGATTTCTTCAAAGTGTCTCTCCACTTATCGACCAGCTAGTCTGATCTATGCCACAGTGCCGGCAATCGGAGTGTAGGACACTTATATAATTTACAACGCATAAATTATTAATATTATTTTGTAGTATACATTAGATATTCTAAGGTAATTAATTTGATTGAATTGTATTTATTACTTATTGAAGGGCCACAACCTGGCTGGACAGGGTAATAGTACAATAATATCATAATTAGAATTTTTAGTTAATCTTTAGATTTTTTAAAGTGTCTCTCCACTTATCGACCAGCTAGTCTGATCTCTGCCACAGTGCGGGCAATCGGAATGTAGGACACTAACATAACTTATCGTGCATAAATCTATAGTACAGTCGCATCTAACCTAGGTCGTCCTACAGGTGATTGAAAAGAAGTAGGCCACATATCATAAGGTTCTTTGCATAAAGACAAAGATATTATTTGAGATCTCGCGTTGGTATATCCAGCTACGAAATACAAATAAATCAGAGTCGAAATATTATACTAAAAACTAATATTTTACTAATATATATTAGCTTCGATGCGAAGCTGAGAAGGTATTGGTTTTACTATGATGTGTTTTTTTTTTTTTTTTTTTTTTTTTTTTTTT